CCATCCTGGAGAAATGTGACCAGGGCCAAGAACTCACTCCATGCTGAGCCCTCCCATGGCCCCCTCCTGGAAGAGTTGATGTTTTCTGGTTGCTGTGACTTCTGTGGCACACTTTGCCAGACATCTGGCACCACCTAGGAAAATGCTGGAGGGGTTAGGAAGGAAGCTCAGTTGGTGGAGTGCCTGCCTAGTGTCTTAGTCACTGTACCATTGCTGTGACAAAGCACCATGACCAAGGCAATTTACAAAAGAAAGCATTTAACTGGGGGCTTGCTTCCAGTTTTAGTGGGTTAGTCCATGACCATCATGGTGGTAGGTAGACAGGCGTGGCATGAGCTGGAGAAGTAGCTGAGAACTCACATCTGATCCAAAAGTTGCAGATGGAGAAAGAGAGGGAGACTGGCTTTTGAAACCTCAAAGCATACCCCCAGTGACACACCTCCCCTAGCAGGCCACACCTCCTTATCCTTCCCAAAGAGTCCACCAATTGGGACTCAATTACTCGCATATGTGAGCCTATGAGGGCCACTCCCATTCAAAACACCACACCTAACACGAACAAAGATCTCAGTTTGATTCTTAGCATTTCATAAAACTAGGTGTGATGACTGATGCACACCTGTAACCCCAGCACTCAGGGAATGGAGGCAGGAGGATCAGGAGTTCAATGTTATCCTCAGCAACATGGCAAGTTGATATGAAACTATCACTGTCGGGGTGGGGGGGGAGGGGCAGCCTCAAGGAGCACAGGGTATAGGAATCCTCAGAGTTGGTGAGGCTAGACTTTTCTAACTGAAGGAATTAGGGAAAAGGACACTCACAAACTCTCTTGATGATTTCCTTTTTTTCTTTTTTTTTTTCCCCCCCCCCCCCCCGCTTTTTTTTTTTTTTTACACAGATTTTATACCCCAGAATCTTCCAGGCAGTACAGGAGTCAAAACGGTTGCATTTCATTTCTCAACTGAATGAGTATAGATAAAAACATTTTTCTCATCTTCCTCAAATGATTAAACATTTTATGTATTACAGGTGAAAAACAAATTATCCCAAGAACCCACATACATTCATACGCAAACACCTTGTTATAGATTAACCATGTGGGCAAGCAAGGTCTTCTTGTCAGGTCTTTTACTGACAGGCTGTATTTGCAGTTACAAACAAAAGGCCAATTACTTCATTACTTACCTTGAAAGGCAATCTTATAAGGAGTCTTAAAGGAATCACAAACCTAAACTTTTATATATGAAAAAGAATCAGTCAGCTATCTCTACTTTAAATCTTTAGGGTACACATCCATTTATTAATGTTTTTTTATATCAGGAGATTGAGGGCAGAAATGGGCATAAAGAATTAATCATCACCTTTGGTCATCAACCAAACCTAGCAAGGAGAGTACGTCAGCCAGTAATAATTGGGCTGCTTTGTTCTTGTTCCCTGACCTTAAAGAGTTCTGCATTCAACTATGTGCCTTTCTAGAACTTTAGATTGTCTTCTTGTTTAACAAAAACATCTTAGTCTAACTTTGTTGTTTTCAAAGCTTTGTTTCAGCTGTGATGCACTCAGACCTGTGAACACATCTCCTGACATTAAGGCTAAAAGAATCTAAACTAGCTGGGCTCCTGGGACTCATTTGTTAATCCTTAACTTGAGCTACAATCCATGCCGCTCCTTAGGTGAAATTCACAGACCCTGACTGTGAAACATATCCTTGTATTTGTTTTTATTCATCAAAACTCTGTGTAAGCTATCATCATTATTATCAAATTACACAGTACAGCTTAGGGAGGTGTCATCTTCTTGACAATCCACAGGTAAAAATTCCCAGTAAAACGGTATGTTTCCAAGACATGAACACAATATTACAGGCAGTGGAGACCTCCACATGTCCACTCACACCACGCTAGATACCAGAGAAAGAGAGCTGCAGCAAACATGGAAAGGCACAGCAGAAGCAAAAGACATTCCAGGGACTGAAGTACTGTGACCTTGCCTAAATGAGATTGGCCCATCATAGGATTCCCCTCTGGCAGACTGACACCTGAAACTTCAATTGCAACTCGCTGCTCCTCTAGCATGGCTAATGCCATGAAACTCTTTTTTAAAAATGTTTTTATTAATTTTTCATATGATATATTTGATCATATTCTTTTTCCTGTCCCAGCACCTTCTAGGTCCTCCCCATCTCTCTACCTACCCAAAGTCCTGTTCTTTTTCTCTCCCAAAAGGAAAAAAAAAAACAACAAAAGAAAATCAAAACAAACTTAAAACATTAAGACAAAATTCCAAAACAAAACAAAAAGCACACAAAAACCATAGGGTTCTTTTTGCACTGAGCAACTACTCCTGGGCATGGGGCCTACCCTGGAGTGTGGTGGATATCCAGTGACAGTCCATTGGAGAAAACTGATTTTCCCTGACCCAGAAGGTATATCTTTATCAAACCCTCCCTCCCCTCAAGGCTTAGGGATCCATGCAGAAAGGGAGGGAAAGTGATGGATGACCCCAAAGGAAAGTGTCATTCAGACACAACAGGGCTGATACACATAAGAACTCACAGAGATTATGACAGTATGCACAAGGCCTGCATAGGTTCAAAATCCCAGCGCTCAGAAGGGGGAGTGGCCACTCCTAGCCGAATTATCTATTTTTAAAAGTTATATGTGTGTGTGTGTGTGTGTGTGTGTGTGTGTGTGTGTGTTTGAAGGTAGTGGGGAATGGCTGAAGAGAGATGGCTCAGTGGTTAAGAGTACTTGCTGCTCTTGCAGAGGGCCTGGGTTTGGTTCCCAGCACCCACGTCAGGAGCTCACAGCCATCTGTAACTCCAGCTCCAGGAGATCTGATCCCTTCTTCTGTACTCCTTGGGCACCTGCATTCATATGAACAAACACACCCCACACAGACATATATACACTTGATCAAAAATTTTTTAAAAATTAAAGAACAGAAAAGGACAATCCTAAAATCTGTGGTAGCAAACAGGTAGAGACCTTTGTAACTGCCCAGCCCAAGCTGAGACCTATCTGGATAAAGCTCAGTCACCAGGGACCCTCCCAGGCACAGTCACACCTAGGCATTTCCTGGCCCCAACAACACTGTGCCAATGCTTTACCTAATGTCTCCTTTGATCCCTGGAGCAGTCGCCCCAGAATGAACTGTTCTGAGTGCTGAGTTGAGTTCTTTTTTCCCCTAGAGCTACTCTCCACCCCACCCCACCCTGCACTGGGAGACTCACCTGCAGCCACAGATTCAGCAGGCTTCCTTGTGCCCTACCTTCTGGTGGGGGGAGGGGTCTGTTCAGTGAGCCACTGGCAGGTGAACGGGAGACAGGAGAGAGTAGTTGTGGGGGTGGGGATTGTTGGCTCTGGTCTCACGGTGAAATGCATCTTCTAGTTCCTGTTAGCACATTGGCACCAACCCCACCCCGCCCCCACCCCAGGTGACTGGCCCATTCCATAGGTTCGTAGTAGTTATTTTTCATGTGGCTTTCCAAACTGCCACAAAGCAACCCGAGGAGGAAAAGGTTTATATCCTCTCAGTTGGAGGTTGCAATCTGTTAAGGCAAAGAAGATACGGCAGCAGGGACATGAGGACTCTCGGTCACTTCAGCCAGGAAGCTCAGCTTCTCTGCGGGGCTGCCCACTATTAGCCCAATCCAGACAGTCCCTCACAGTCACAGTCAGAGGCTGGTCTCCTATCTCCTGGGTGGTTCTCCGCCCTGCCTAGTCTACAATCAACGTGAGCCATCAGAGGCACTGCAGTGTCCCTTGCTTTGCCTCAGTCACATTCAGGATCTTGAAATCAATCTCTGTAGGAACCTCTCCCCGCCCCCGCTTCTCCGCTCCTCAGCACCACCTCACTGGGAAGCCAAGGTTGGCTTTGAACTCATCATCCTTCGCTCTTCACCTCCCAAGTGCTGCGCTTACTGGCTTGTACTGCCATAGAACTACACACTACTACGTTGTGTGTGCTTTTTTCTGTTGGGACCTCGGCTGACACAGGTCCTATTGTGTTGACAATAAGGCAGAGGTTCTTTAAGATTAATCGAAGTGCAGTGTGGTGAAAGTGTATTATAAAATGACGAGGCAGTGATTTGATTTGCGGGGGAGGCGGGGAGTTCAGGGAATGAGCAGCCTAGCCCAGAGCCCGTTAAACCGGGCTGACTCACCCACCCCTTAATGGCCACAGAGAGCAAAGGTGAGCCACAGCCTGTTGTGTTTGCGAGGTTCCCTGGCCTCTCTTTGCCCTTGCTGGCTGTCAGCCCACTGGCTCCTGACTTTCTGGCTCTTGGCATTGGTTTTAATGGTCACTAAATGTTCTTGAACGTTAGTCTATGCTTGCACAAGGCTCTGCTTCATTTTCTGGTCTGGCTTGGCACGTTGGCTCCCTTCAGCTGCAGCCGGACTGCGTTTGGAGTGGGGCTATGGTGCAGAGTCTGTACTTCCGTCTCCCCGGGATGGGCACGTTGGGCTTAGGTCCACTTAGGTTGTTCCAGCATCTCTCTTAGGGCGGTGTGAAGAAGTTCGGGGGAAAATAGACAGCTGAATGAATTGCTGGGTGAGACTGGGATGTGAGCAGTCTCCAGAGTGGTGATGTACTTACTCTACTATGAGTGTACATGAGTGAGAGTATGAGTAGCAGGGATTGTGTGAACACAGGGTGGGGATGTGGGCTGAGTAACAGAGAAGGGAATGTGATTTGTCTGTAATGAGAGTGACTGCTATTGTGTGTGCTCAGATCAGTCTAACTTAGGAAGGCTGGAGGCGCCCTCTGGTGGCCACACCATGAATCCCAATGTGTGTATTCCCCTGGTCCTCCCCAGGTTCCCAGAAAAGAGCTGCCAATAGCCACCCAGTCTTTCCCCAATCTGGCTTCAGCTTAGCTCCCACTCACGAACCTGGCTTCGTCCGCAAGCCCCAGGGCTCTTTTCCCCCCCAGCGCGTCCTCCTTTGATTTCAGGGAGCTGTGGGTGGAAGTTGGGGAGAATGGAGCAAAGAACCAAATTGTATAAAACACAGCTTTATTGATCTAAAGAAAACTGACTTGGATGTATTCCCATTCCATGCATGCCCCCAAGGTCCTGGCCACAGGGTGCAGCGGGCTGAGCACTCTGGCGGGAGGAAGAAGAGTATTGCTGCCTGAAGGTGGAGGTTGGGGAAGAGCATCCAGAGAACCCCCAAGTGTCCCAGCAGCAATTGACACAAGACCACTTAACACATTTGTTCTCTGGCCTCCAGAACATTCATTCCACTTAGGAACCAGAGCAGCTTCTCATGGGGGAGTAAAAACTCCCTCTGGCTGGCTGTCCCCAGTCCATGGCCAGCATCTCTCCAGTTGTTTTTGTTGTTGCTGTCTCTTCTGGAGAGCCCACCCCCTTCCATTTCTCTCTTCCGCTGTGCAATTCAAAGAGGATGGATGCCTGGCATGACAGTCCCCTGGGGTAGGTAGAAGCCCTGTTTACCAGCTCAGCTAAGTAGACCCTTGCATGCATGTAGTTAATTTGTTAATCTAAATATCTTTCTGAAGCTGGGTTTGCCGTGTTACCTATACCAGGTAGCCAGCACAGAGCCCAGCACCCACAAATATCTGCTTCAAACATTAATTGGCTAGCTTAGTGAATTCAAAGTGGGCACCCCCAGCACCCCCGGGATCCCTCCACCCGCAGCACCTCCCTGCTTCACTCCTCCTCCATCGTGCTGTTCAAATGGGGGTCAGGCTGGGTGCTGAAGCCCGTGGCTTGGCATTGCCTGGTTCCGGGTCCTCACTCTCTAGAAGCTTGTGATGACAGCGGCAGGTGGAGGCTCGGCTGGAGGACTTTGGGGAGCTGCTGCTCTTTGTAGACTTGACCTTGCTCAGGCCTCGCATAACCCTGTGGAAAATGAGGTAGAAGATCTCACAGATGGTGAGAATAATGCAGACAGCGGAGGCGCCTACCATGAAGTAGGTAAAGACTTTCTTCTCCGTGGGTCGAGCGATGTAGCAATCCACGGTGTTGGGGCAGGGGTCCACACCGGCACACTGTACCAGACGTGGCATGGTGAAGCCATGCCAGAGCCTGTGCAGGACATACAGGAAGACCAATTCAATGATGAGCTTGAAGATGAGGCTGAGCAGGTAGGTCCACCACAGGCCGCCGTGCTTCTTGCCAGGATGGCTGTATAGCTTGGCACACTGATCCCCGTGCTTCAGGCGATGCTTCCGTTCCCGCTCCTCGCGGTAGGCTACGTGCAGGATGACCAACATCGAAGGACACGTGACGAAGATGAGCTGCAGGGCCCAGAGGCGGATGTTGGAGATAGGAAAGAAGTTGTCGTAGCACACGTTGGTACAGCCAGGCTGCCTGGTGTTACAGTCAAAATCTTTTTGCTCGTCACCCCACACACGCTCAGCCGCCACCACATACACCAGCACCCGGAAGACGAACACGACTGACAGCCAGATGCGTCCGAATGCTGTGGAGTACTGGTTCACACCGCTCAACAGGTCCTGAAGCTTCTTCCAATCCATGGTGCCTGCTTGCGGCTTTCGGGGCTGGGCCCACCTGAGGGGACAATGGAGAAAACCGTTAAGCTAACGATACATCTGATGACTATAAAATAAAAAGTGTTATTTTTGTTTATGGATATGCGTGTCATTGTTTATGTATGTGCACGTGGCACGGAGTCCCGAAGAGGGTGTGGGACCCTTCACAGCTGGCATTAATAGGCCCTTGTAAGCCACCTGACTATGTGGGTGCTGGGAACTGAACTTTGGTCTTTCGATAGATCTTTAAATTGCTCAGCCATCAATCTAGCCCTGCCTTTTCTTTTCTTTTTAAACAAAACAAAACAAAACAAAACAAGCCAGGTACAGTGGCACACGCCTTTAACCTCAGCACTCAGGAGGAAGAGGCAGGTGGATTTCTGTGAATTGGAGGCCAGTCTGGTCTACATAGTGAGTTTCAGGACAGCCAGAGCTATATCATGAGACTTATCTTAAAAAGAAAGAAAATTAGCCTGGCGTTGGTGGCGCATGCCTTTTAGTCTCAGCACTCGGGAGGCAGAGGCAGGTGGATCTCTGTGAGTTTGAGGCCAGTCTGGTCTACAGAGCAAGTTCCAGGATAGGCTCCAAAGCAATACAGAGAAACCCTGTCTCGAAAAACAAAAACAAAACAAAACAAACAGAAAGAAAGAAAAATCAAAATTTCACCATGTAGCTCAGGCTCAACCATCTCCTTACCCCTCCTTTTTATTTTATGCAAAATAAGTTTCACAATGTAGCCTAGACTGGCCTGGAGCTAATGACTCTGCCTCCTGAGTGCTGGGGTTGCACCCCCATACCCCCACTCACTGAGCTCTTTGTTTGGGTGGACTTGGTAGGTCATCCCAAGGATCCTAAGAGGTGAGGACTCTTCCCAAACTGAAGATAAGACACCGAGAATCATCTGGAATATGCAACCCACCCAAAGTCAGAGCTAGAGCTCATTGCAAGCTAGAGCTCATTGCAGTCTGTGACACACACACACACACACACACACACACACACACACACACTAAATATTCAGGATCTCATTTAACCTTTTGTAAGGGTACCCTGAAGTGGCTGCTGCTGTGCTCCCACCTTAGGGATAGAGAAGCTGATAATTAAATGACAGTGATTACAAAGCACATAGAGTGCATGGTACATGTTCCATAAATGCTGGTGACCCATTACTGCAGGGTGTAGGCAGGCCACGGATTTGCATCAAGAGGGTCGGATTTAGGCACATGCCCTTCATCCCTTCCTGGATGCCCACCTCAGCCCGTTTTTTCCCCCTTTCCCTTTTCAGACAGTCTCAGATTGGCTTTGAACTCTCAGAGTAGTCAAGTATAACTTTGAAATTCCAATCCTCCATCCACTGCTTCCTGAGTGCTGGTTTGGCAGGAGTATAACACCATGTCCAGTTTTATGTGGTATTGAGGATCGAACCCTGGGTCTTGAGCATGCTAGGCAAGTACTGTGCTCCAAGCCACAATTTTAAAAACTGTTCTCCCACTGATGTCTCAACAGCATCCTGTGAACCTGGCATCGTGAACCTATCCTACAAAGAGGAGACTGAAGGAAGCCAGAAGAGGAGAAAAGACCTGGTAACATTTTTCTTTTTCTTTAAATTTTATTTTACGTGTACGAGCTTTGCCAGCATGTATATCTATACACCATATGGGTGTCTGGTGCCGATAGAGGCAGGAACGGGGCATCAGATCCCCTGGAACTGTAGTTATAGACAGCTGTGAGCTGCCACGTGGGTGCTGGGATCAAACCAGGTGTTTTGGAAGAGCAGCCAGTGCTCTGAAATGTTTAGTCATCTTCCCATCTCCAACACCTGCTAATGTTCCACAGTCCATGCTAGAAAAGGCAGGGAGGTTTGCATCAGGTGGGAGATGCATAGGGGGTTGGGTCTGTTTCCTGGGATAGCACTTATTTCAGATGACATGTACAGAAAGCAGGACCTGGGGTTTTTAGCCTTCCCTAGATTTGCTGTTAGCCATGGCCTTGTAGGGCCGATGGGTCAGGCCAGCTCATCTTCCTCCCAGTTCTGGGTGACTCAGAGGGTGTAGACAGGTGGATCTGCTGAGTGTACCTGGGATTGGCATGCTGATAGGGATGTTAGCAGCATTCACCTCTCCCTAAGCCCACGTGAAGCTGGATCTGCACACACGAGAGAGTGCTTTCCAGGCTATTTGGGATTGCAGGGCCACCGCCTTGGCCCAAGCAATCATCATCCTTGCCCATATTCCTGCAACAGTCCCCTCATTGGCTTTGAGCTATTCTTTGCACACTGCAGCCCATTGAGTCACAACTGATTACATTCCCTCCTTAAAAGTCTTCACTAGTTCTCTACAGCCCTGCCACACCAACACACACACACAAACTCACCTTGCCGCTCTCTGCTCTGACCTTGCCTTATTCCTCCTGCCAGGAATGCTTTTCCTCTGGAGCCTTAAGTGGCCGGACCCTACTCATTACTGTGGCATCTCTGCTCCAACAATATCCCCTCAGGGTCTCCTCTCAAATTACTTCAGGTCTGAACCTGCTCCAGCCAGTCCACTCCCAACGCCTCTGTTTTGCAACTGTCCAGTTTGAAATTTAAGTCTTGGTCATTTGTTTGTTTGTTTTTGTTCTCATTTATCACCCGTCCAATTAGCATGCCTACTTGACTCTCTGGCTGCTTCAAGTTTGGTATCGCTTAGCACACAGTAGGCACTCAGTTCATGCTGAATGTGTAAACAGGTGGAAGCTGAATTTTCAGAGAGGCATGGGAGGGCCGGACAGGACTGCAGAGTAGCTAGGTTGCAGTGCACTTCCTCAGCCTTGCTGCCTTCCACAGGGCCTGCCTTTTGAGAATCTCCGTTCTGGACAAGATGGGGATGACTGGGAAGCCCTAGTCCATGAAGACCCTCACAGGTTTGCTCCCGGCATTTTCTAAGCCCTGGCCTCTATGGAGGGCCATGGATTAGCACCTGTATTCTGACCTCCGCACTGCCATTTACTAGCTGGGGGACATCCAGAATTCTGTAAAGTCGCTAACCCTGTTCCTTATCTCCTATCTTGGGTTGCTGCAAGAGTCGGGAGTTCCCTGGTCAGCCTGCTCTTCCTGGGAGTGCTGAGAGAATGAGCGGGAGGAGAGGGGTTCCTGGTACTGGTACCCTCTAAGGCTGCAGCAGCCCCCTCTAGGGCTCCCCATTCTTGGTGCAGGCTGCGTAGTCCCTCCTAAGACACACCCGGAGACAGACTCATCTGCAAAGAATTTCCCGCCTAGCCGCCTACCCAGTGCCAGGGACTGGTGGAGCCGGTTCTGGACCCACCGTTGCCCCCCAACTCCAGCTGCCAGAACAATTTAGGTGCAGGACCTAGCCTCTCCATCTCTTGCTTGTCTACCCTTCACTATTGTCTGTCCCCAAAGGCAGAGCTCCCCACTTGGGTCCCGGGCCCCTTAGTTTCCTTCCATTCTAGGCAGCTTGGGAACTTGCAGCTGGGACGGGGGCGGGATGGAGAGAGAGAGAGAGAAAGAGAGAGAGAGAGAGAGAGAGAGAGAGAGAGAGTCTGTGTGTGTGTTGGGGGTGTTGAGCAAGCAGAGTTGAGTTAAAGTGCCTCTCCACTGCCCTTCTGCAGCACTCCACCCCCAGCCTGGCGGCGTGGGCAGGCTCCAGTCCAGCCACCAGAGGATCTCCACAGAGAGGGGCGCTCAGCCGCCCGGGATTGTCGCCGCCCCTTCCCCTTCCCAGTACTTACAGTCAGTTGTGCCGCCACCGTGGGTGGCTGGTCCCTGGAGCCCAAGACCCACAGCAGAAGAGGTTCGAGATCGGAGCCAAGCCCAGCTCTGTGGCCTCAGTGAGGCTCCTGGATAGCGCAGCCAGAGGCCGCGTGGAGGAGGGGCGGTCGGGGGCGGAGCCTGGAGTCGCCTCCAGGGGTCCTAGAGTTCTAATCCTGAAGCAGCTGAAGCAGCTGCGTTGACCCGGGAGCCCCAGGCTGCTTCGCAGAGCCTCGGCTTGCTCGAGCGTGGAATGGGGGCATTGATGGCCACTGGCAGGGCTGTTGCAAAGGCTGCAATAACATTAGGGCGTGAAACACCTTGCAAACTGTTAAGTGCAGGCAGGAGGGATGGCAATAAATGACTCGCCCACAGCTGGTTACCACGGATACCTGGCCTGCGCCCTGCCGGTCTGGATCACAGGTCTCAACCCTGCATTTGGACACTGTGGGCGGGCGGGGCGTGAGGCGGAGTGGGGGAGAAGGGCGGTGCTCTTGCCCTGCTTGTGTGCTTGATGACAATCTCCAGGGACCCAGGTGTATCTTTGTGACAGTCCTGCGGGGCTCACACTCTGTGCTGGCAGCCGGAAGGTACACAACCCGGAAAAGAAATTTCAGGGGAAAAGGTGGTGCTTGGAGCGATTTCAGAGTACCCAGTCTGTCCGAGGGTGTGTGGAGCAGGGGTGGGAGGCAGAGCCTGTGAAGGGTGGAAGCCTGTGGTTGAGGGACTCCTAAACTGAGCACTGGGAACCAGGAACACTTAGTCTTACTTGTGTGCCTGGACTGGGGTCCTGAAAGCCCCTAAACGCCCCAGGAACGGAAACCCAGTGTTTCCTGGGGATCCCCAGATCTTAGTCACAACCCTGCCTGAGGCTTCACTGTCTAGACAGAGATGACTGTTGCCCGACCCTGGTGACTATTATCCCACTTGCCGAGAGTGTACCCATAGGTGCCACTTCCAATCTACAAAAGGCTCCCATTGTTAGGAGGATCCATTACCGGGCCCTCCTGTTACCCAGAGGGATTCCCGTGCTCCCGAGCTGTGCTCTTGGGCCAAGACTGCTTCTCCTATGTACTGCATATCACTTTTTTTTGTTTTTGTTTTTGTTTTTTGTTTTTGTTTTTCGAGACAGGGTTCCTCTGTGGCTTTGGAGGCTGTCCTGGAACTAGCTCTTGTAGACCAGGCTGGCCTCGAGCTCAGTGATCCGCCTGCCTCTGCCTCCCGAGTGCTGGGATTAATGACGTGCGCCACCAACGCCCAGCTACTGCATGTCACTTTTACAGCATACGAATGAAATATCTCTGATCGTTTCTGCACTTAAAGGAGAAGATGGAGTGATGTGCTCGGGGCCACATGGAAGAAGTTACAGAGCCAGCTCCAGAGAGCTCAGTGCTTAGGATGAGGCTATCTTGTACTTGATGTGGGTGCGGGACTGCCCTTAGCCAGCACGTGGCTGGACTTTCTGGATGGCTCTGCTAATGTGCCTGGGTGACAGTGGGGATCCCTGCCCCTGCCACCTGCTGCTCATCACCTATTCCCCTCCTACAGTCAGAGGGAAACCCCTGCCCACTTTCCAACCCATCAGAACATTTCTGTCCCTGATGTGTCACTTGAAAAGGCTTGTCAAGGTCACTTCCGATCTTCATAAGGCTAAATCCCACAGTCATAAATCTCTGACGTTCTGAAGCAGCTGCCACAGTGGGGTCACGCCTTTCTTCTCAGAGCAACTTCCACCTCCGCTTCCTTGACACCCTCTCAGTTTCCTCTACTGTGGGTGCTCTGGGCCAGGCCTAGGCTGGGCTCACCTCCCGTCCCAGGTGAGCGCACCCAGTCCTAGGGCCCTAGCACACATTCACTGACACGTTCACATGTTCATCCATGGCTGGCACTAACAAACACCATTGTGCAACCAACGCTTCCCACACCTCCACCATGGCTAATAGGTTCTGGTTTTCTTTCAAGAATAACCTGTGCACGGTCAACTATAGAGAAGCCTTCTATGACCCGTGGAGGGATGCTGTGTGCGCTACTATATGCTTTGAGCTGTTCCTCTCTGTAGACAGAGGGTTCTTTTTTTTTTTTTTTGCCGCTTTTCGTTTGATTTTTTTTTTTTTTTTTTTGAGACGGGGTTTCTCTGTGTAGCTTTGGAGCCTGTCCTAGAACTAGCTCTTGTAGACCAGGCTGATCTCAAATTCACAGAGATCCACCTTCCTCTGCTTCCTGAGTGCTGGGATTAGAGACATGCACCACCACAGCCCGGTTCTCTGTTGTTGTTTTAAAGAGATGAATTGTGTTTATACTAGCATATATTCTAAGTTGCACACTGACAGAAATTAAGGCTGCTTCCAGCCCTTCCTTTCAGGGCTAGGCATGTGTGGAACAGTTGGCAGAGCACTTACTGGCCCCTCCCTCTGTCTCCTCCCTTCCCTCCCTTCCTCTTTCTTTCCCCTCCCCACCTATCCCTTCCCTCTCTTGCTCCTTCAATTGCAACAAATCTCCTTGAACAAATATTATTTGGGCTTTTTCTTCTCCGTGTGTGTGTGTGTGTGTGTGTGTGTGTGTGTGTGTGTGTGTGTGTGTGTTTGCACATGCACGCACACGTGTGTCTGCACACTCAAATGTAGGAAAGTGCATGCCTGCTCCTGAGTCTAAGTCAGAGGACAATCTTTAGTGTTAAGTCCTCAACTTCCACCTTGTTTGCGACAGGGTCTCCTGTTCACTGCTTTGTAAGCAGGCTGGCTGGCCCCTAGCATCCAGGGAGTCCCCTGTCTCCACCCCTCATCTCAATGTAGGAGTACTGGGATTACAGATGCTGCAAGCTATTGCCTGACTGTGTATGGGTCTAGAGGATCTGAACGAGGTCCTTATGGTTGCTCTGCAAGTGCCTTCTATACTGAGCATGTCCTCAGCCCTAACTCATTTAAAATCGTGTCTACGGGCTATTCCTGGAAGTGATGCTTTTGGGCTAAATTGATATGTTGTTTAATGTTTTGATAGACACCGCCAATCCCTCTCCATGGATGCATTGGTCAGCATTACCATGACACATCATGGTTTGTTTTCCCCAGTCTTTGCCATGAGAGAGCATTACCAAATTTTATGATTGTTGCTACTTTGTATGTCTATTTTGTGTTTCTCTTAAGAGACCCTAGTCTTTGAAAGTGTTTGAAGAACCATTTTGTTGATGGGTTTGTTTCTTCTTGTAAACTTCCCTTTGCCTCAGTCCATCTCCTACAGGTAACTGCTTTTTATTATTTACTTCATGGGAATTCTTTACATATTAAGAAAATAATGGTGTCTGTGATACAAATAGAGTTTCTTCTGTCTGAAAATTGTGTTTTGACTTTTTATATGTATTTTCTTTTTGTTTTGTTTTCTTTTTCGAGACAGGGTTTCTCTGTATTGCTTTGGAGCCTGTCTTGGAACTTGCTGTGTAGACCAGGCTGGCTTTGAACTCACAGAGATCTGCTTGCCTCTGCCTCCCGAATACTGGCATTAAAGGTGTGCACCACCAACGCCTGGCTGTATATGCATTTTTAAATTAAACTAGTTTATGTGATATATTTCGATCATGTTATGTCCCCTCCCCAACTCCTCTCAGATCTTCTCCCCTCCCCACTCAACTTTATGTTCTTTCTTTTTCTCTCTTTCAAAAACAACCCCCCACACCCCAAACAACAAGCCCCTACAAAAACACAAAAATGAAAATCAAAACAAATTACCAAAAAACCAATAAGACAAAAAATGCCAACACAAAACAAAATGAGACAAAAAGCAGAGAACACAAACATGCAAATAATTGAGAATGAGATATTAGTACATAGTGAGTATCTCAATGTGGCAAGAAAAGCTACGACTTCATAAAAAAAAAAATGAGCATGTTTGAAAACACTTGCTTGAGGGAGAGGTGGGGATACAGAACATGTACAAAGAAGATTTATTAATATGAACTTAGATAACTGGCCACTTGGTCAAATAAGGAATCTGACATAGGCTCAACAAATTACTGAAGGCTTAAGAGTTTTAAGTGCGTGGATGCAATTCTAATCAAATTTGTTGGTTTTTTTTTATGTTATAGTTTGAGATCTTTCAATTCTATTATCCCAGCATGAAATACTTTTCTTCAACTCAGACACAGTGATGAGTAGGAAGTGTGTGTGTGTGTGTGTGTGTGTGTGTGTGTGTATGTGCATGCATGTACACACAACACTGGGTAGCTGCGTCTTGGGTTTAGCGTTAGCTGCTTATGAAGGTAGGTTTTTGTTTTGTTTGAAACAGGGTCTCACTTTGTAGTTCAGGCTGGACTCTAACTCGTGGGCGTGCCACCACACCTAGCTGTGTATATGGGTTTTGCTGCATGTCAAGGTGTGGGATTGTGGAGATGGTGGTGTGGTTTGGAGCTTGTGACTCCTGTGGCTACAATAGGTGGTGGTGCAGGATCCTGTCTGTGGTTCAGCAGGCTCTCCTCTGGTGACCAGGCATTTTTTGCCACATAGATTCTGTTATTCTGACCCCACTAAGGCTATCTCTTCCTCTTGACACCTGAGAGACCCCTCTCCCGAATAAAACCACTGGCTTTGCCTCATCCAGACTGAGCTTGGAGAGTTCATCCCCATGGAGAAACTCTTAAGGGCCTCGAGACCTTGCTACCCCACCCTACATTTTCTGCTTCTTGAGTTTGGGTACTGTGTGGGAGGCCATCTAGGCCATCCCCCTGCCTCAGGGCAAGTCTAAGTTGCGCCAGGGATTGGCAGCCACCTTTGTGCCACCCCCATACCCCTCAGGCCCTCCACCTGGCATCTGGGGGTGGCAGGCCCAAAGCCACTGCTCTGATTCTGGCTCAGGCCCTGCCTGGCTCTACTCCGAGGCCACTCCTTCTGTCTAGAGCTGTGTCCGAGCCATGCCAGGCCTTCCTTCCCAGGCTGGGGCTGCTCTGGTGTTGGCATGTTCTCAGAGATTTTTCTCATCCCTTGAATGGAGGGGTGGGGCTGGGAGAAGGCACCGGGGAGGGTTCTTCTGAGAATTCTCCAGCTGTGTTTGAGCTGGCTTGGGACTACAGCCAGGCATGAGGCCACACTCCCAGCTGGAGTTCTGTATTGCTTCTGAGACACTCAGAGTTGCTTAGACTTTCTGCACATATCACTTTTCAGTAGAGTGGATGCCTGTCTTCCTTGATTTGCTGTCAGGATTCAGCCGCTGTGTGTAAACATCTCTGCCCCACCCCTTGAATCTCAAGGAGCTGGCTCCACCTCCTCTCATCAACATTTCTTTTTTTCTTTTTTAAAGAAAAAGTCTCACCATGTAGCCCTGGCTGGTCTGAAACTTACCATGTAGACCAGGCTAGCCTCTCACTCATAGAGATCTGCCTGCCTCTGCCTCCTGTGTGTTGGGTTAAAGACATGCGCTGCTATACCAAGCCTCAATCTTAGCTTCCTTTTGCTTGTTTGTTTTGTGACAGAATCTCCCCCTGTAGCCCAGACTGGCCTTGAACTCAAAACCTTCCTTTCTCTGCTC